AGACTTCAAAATTACTAATGACCTTGAACTAGTCATTTGACCTCTATAGGCCTCAGTTTTCTCATCTGTAAAACAAGGGGTCAGGGAATGACCTCCAAGGAATTTCAATATATCTTATACAAATTCAAATGGCCTGTTGGCGAAAGGCTAGAAAAGGAAAAAAAAGAATGGACTGATGATCCCTTTTAGTTATGGTCGAGTAAATGTTCTGGGTTCAAATACATGAATTTCAAATTTAAACCTCAGGCATTCTCTTAAGAAATTTAAACCCTGAAAACAACATGGTAGATACCTTCATTCATACCTAGACATTCAACTTTTGCATAGCTCTAGTCTGTGGAAGAGAAAAGCTACAGAAATTTACAGACACTTTGTCAATTTAATTGCAATAAATTCAGTTCCTAAATTCAGTATGTTTTCTAAAACTACTTGATAAAATAGTTTTTGTAGTGGATTGAATTATGTCCCCCCCAAACTCACTGGAGCTTGAATTGTGTCCCCCAAGTTTTATGTATTAGAAGCTTAGCCCCCATTGTGACTGTTAAGAGGGTGGGAAATGCTATTATGATAATTGAAAGGTGGAGCCTTGAAGAAGTGTTTGGACCATGCTGTAGTGAATGAATTAAAAACAGTGGTCAGGGGAGGGGTTCTGAGGGCTTTAAAAGAAGAGGAGGGCTGGCCTGGTGGCGCACTGCTACAGTGCGCCGCTTGGGAGTGCGGCGGCACTCCCGCTGAGGGTTCGGATCCCACATACAGACCGGCCGCTCACTGGCTGAGCGAGGTGCGGGCGCGACACTGAGGGTTGCGATCCGTTGCCGGTCACGAAAAAAGACAAAAAGGAAAAAAAAAAAAAAAGAAGAGGAGAGTCTGTCTTTTTCTCTCTCTGCTCCCAGCATCTTGCAATGTGAGAGACTCTTGGGTCACTGTCACCACCACCAGATGGACTTTGGACTTCCCGGCCTCAGAAACTGTAAGCAATAAATTTCACCCAGTTTCAGATATTCTGTTATAAGCAACACAAAACAGACTAATACAGTCTTATACTCCCTTTAATTAAATCGGTACAAAATACTATTTTTAATATTCAGAAATTCACTGAATAAGATAATTTAAGAAAAATCTATTACCACTTTTATTCACTCCTATCAATTTTGCAACAGCCTTTTGTCCTTTAGTCAAGAGCAAAAACCTTTGGCCTAATCTCAAGCTACATTTTAAAATAGTCCAAGTGAATAGATCCCCTTTCCTCCTGTCATGCTTAACTTTTTCAGTAGGAGAATAACACATGATTAAAAGGCCTGGAGATGTTACAGGGTCAGTGCTGCTCCCACCTGCACCCTCCCGTGTGTCCCCTTTCACATCTCCTCCCAAGGCTTCACTCTACCTTGCCAGACTATCAGTGCCTTGTCTGTAAACTTTGAGGGGACCATTACTCCAGTTGCTTTTCCCAAGAATTCCCCCCACCACCCATCCAAGTCCAACCTCTATGACAACATTTTAAGTTTTACCTAATCATCTGATCAGTGATAAACACTGAAACAAAAATATGAGGATCAGAGGGAAATCAAGGGCAGCTTTTCTGTAACAGAGTCAATATCAAATAAGCTCCAAGTTCCAACATCCCTGGAACCTGGGATCATAGAATGCTTGCCACTTGTGTTTCAAATTTTTCCTCCCTAAAGCCTAGAGTTCTGAGAAACTGAGTTTTTCTGAATTAATAAAAAACTACAAAGAACTAACCCTAACCCTAATTTTCCAAAGGGTCTATGAGATCAACAATTTAAATGCCAAATGCCAGGCAAGGGCACACCACAGGTGAGTGGAGTGGGACTAGGGGGGCAGTCAGTGCACTGGAAATCCCCCTGGAGAGGAGGATAGAAGACTCAAAAATGTTCGTACCCGTTGACCCAATATTCCACTTCTAGGACTCAACTGCAAGGAAATATTCACAAACATGGGCAAGATTTATGGAGAAAAAATATTATTGCTGTTATTTTCAATCAATGAAAGTTGGAACTAGCTCAAATATTCAGTAAGAGAAATTATGATACATTCATATGATAACATATTATATAGCATGGAAAATAGTGTTTTAAAAGAAACTTCAAAGGAGAGGAAATTTTCCACAAAGTTATTTTAAACAAAAAGCAGGATGCAATTATATGTATAATTTCTTGTACCACTATCTCATTCCACATATATATAGCCATATCTCAACTTAGTTTAAAGATAGAAAGCTAGAAAAAAGACTGGAAGGAAAAATAAATATTAAGCGTGGCTTTCTTTGGATGGTAGGATTACAGATGATTTTTATGTTTCTATATTTTAAATTTTTTTCTAAAATAAACATTTCTTCTAAAATATTAGTGGAAATAGATAAAATTAGTAAATGAGAGGTGGGAGAAATTATCAGAGATTTTGGACATCCCAGGACATCTTTCCCTAATGTCCACTTAGATGTTATCCACTGGGTGGCCTTACACCCTCAGCTGTGGCATCAAACAAGACAGGGTGGGAATTCCAGCTTCACCAGTTGTCTAGCTGGATAACCTTTCACAAGCAAGTCACTTATTCTTTGTGATCTTAGGTTCTTAATTTGTAAAACAGTGATGCAAAATCCTAACGGTGGACAGGAGGATTAAATAAAATAACCCATGAAAAGCCCAGATGCATTGTCAGAGCTCAGTTAAAATGTGTTCCCTTGGGTCGGCCCGTGGCTCACTCGGGAGAGTGCGGCGCTGGGAGTGCCGAGGCCGCAGGTTCGGATCCTATATAGGGGTGGCCAGTGTGCTCACTGGCTGAGCGTGGTGTGGACCACACCGTGCCGAGGGTTGCGATCCCCTTACAGGTCAGAAAAAAAAAAATGTGTTCCCTTGGGTCGGCCCGTGGCTCACTCGGGAGAGTGCGGCGCTGGGAGTGCCGAGGCCGCAGGTTCGGATCCTATATAGGGGTGGCCAGTGTGCTCACTGGCTGAGCGTGGTGTGGACCACACCGTGCCGAGGGTTGCGATCCCCTTACGGGTCAGAAAAAAAAAAATGTGTTCCCTTGCCTTATTCTAGGACTGGAGCAAAGCACCTGCAGATTTGTTGGTGGAACAGAGTGGTGTGACAATGGGGGCTCCAGAGGGTGAGCGGGGACCACCTCTGAGCCATACTAATTAATGAGGTAGATGATGACATGGTTAAGGAAACTCCAATTGTGGCAAGCAAGAGCCCCTTCTCACTGAGTCACCAGCCAAGGGTCAGCCCTCTTCCGATAGTGCATGCTGGAGTCCATCTGCTTTCAGCCACCCAGCTTCAGATGGATATAGTACTGAAGCTAATGATCCTTGAAGAGAAGATAATCTCTAAGGCTTCTTTCTGCTCTGATTATAATGCCATGATTATAATAAGCAGATGCTGATAGGAATTTGTTCAAATCTACCCTGTCTTCCGTCTAACTTATTTTAGTGCTTGCTGGATGTCTTTCAAGTTCCATGGGCGTGACAATGCAGAGGTGTTTGTCTGGAGTGCGAAAGAGGAGTGGGGCTCCAGCAGAGAGAGAGAGTGTGTGTGTGTGTGCACTAATCTACAAGGTCATCGTCACCATCATAGTAATACTTTACTATTCACAACTTAATTTTATAACGTTTTTCATTTTTCAAGACAACTTTGTATTCTTTATACGGTTGATATTTCAGTGCAAGTCGGAGAGGTTAAGTGACTTGCTCGGCGCCCAAAGCTTGGTTCCTTCTCCAGCTCCCCAGAGATTGCCCTACTGATGCCACTGCTGGGAGGTGTGTTTTCAAGGGTGAGCCTAGCGAACATTGAGCTTTGTATTTAGCAGGATTCTCCGGGGCAAGGAGCCTCAGGATACTGCTGGAATTTCCAGCCCTTAAGGTGTGTGTTGAGGTTGGGATTGGGAAGGGGAGAAAGGGAACAGGGCCGGGAGGAGGAGGGATGGTTTGGTTTGGGTTTGGGACTCTCCGGGTGGTACCATCCAGCAACTCCCCTTCTCTAGGTCCCTTGTGACCCAGCAGAGGCCCAGGAGAGAGCCCAACACGTCATCTTATAAATTACCCAGTCTCAGGTATTTCTATTATAGCAATGAAAATGGACTAAAACACTAATTCCCTGGTCATTTATTTGGGGTGAATTTTCTCAGAATAAGTGATAACCCACAGTCTTCTGAAAATAAGCAGAGAGAGAGAGTGTGTGTGTGTGTGCACTAATCTACAAGGTCATCGTCACCATCATAGTAATACTTTACTATTCACAACTTAATTTTATAACGTTTTTCATTTTTCAAGACAACTTTGTATTCTTTATACGGTTGATATTTCAGTGCAAGTCGGAGAGGTTAAGTGACTTGCTCGGCGCCCAAAGCTTGGTTCCTTCTCCAGCTCCCCAGAGATTGCCCTACTGATGCCACTGCTGGGAGGTGTGTTTTCAAGGGTGAGCCTAGCGAACATTGAGCTTTGTATTTAGCAGGATTCTCCGGGGCAAGGAGCCTCAGGATACTGCTGGAATTTCCAGCCCTTAAGGTGTGTGTTGAGGTTGGGATTGGGAAGGGGAGAAAGGGAACAGGGCCGGGAGGAGGAGGGATGGTTTGGTTTGGGTTTGGGACTCTCCGGGTGGTACCATCCAGCAACTCCCCTTCTCTAGGTCCCTTGTGACCCAGCAGAGGCCCAGGAGAGAGCCCAACACGTCATCGCTGACCTGCTACCTTTCCTTCGCTGCCGTCCTCAGCCGCCGCAGGAGTCGCCCGCTCCTGGTTACCACGGCAACCGCGCGGGTCCCGCAGCCCGCTCGGCGGCGCTGACTCCCGCAGCCAGAGAGGCGGGCGCCGGGATCTCAGTGCTGCGTCGACCGTGAGCCTCGGAGCCTGCGAGAGAACCGCGGGGAGAGGACGCGGGCAGGAGGACGCGCCTCGGGGCCTCGCGGTGCCGGGCCCCGGCGGGAGTCGGGCTGGACGGCGGAGCGCGCGCCCAGGGTGGCACCTGCGGGCCGAGCGCCGACCGAGCCCGCGGCGGAGGTGCAGGGCTGGAGCCCTCCCGGTGAGTCCCTCGGGTCTTCCACTGGGTGAGCAAATCCCCTGAATGACGAGGTCGTGTGTCTTGATGGAGGCCTTTAAAGAAAATCGCATCTTTAAATTGCGTATAGACTGGGAAGCATTTTCCTTTCTGACACCTTTGGGTTTCTGGGAATTGCTTCGTCTCCCTTTAATCGCGCTCTTTTTTTATTTGTTTTTATTTATTTATTTATTTATTTATTTCGGTTTCTATTTTTATTTTTTCTTTTCTTTTTTTTTTTCCCTAAACGCACTACCCTCTTAACCAGTGGGAACTACAACCCAGTGTCGGGGTCTCGATGACCGCACACCCCGTTCCCCGCAGTGCGCGTGCCAGCGTCACAAACACACACCGCACAGCCTGTCAGAGAAGCGGCCGACCTCAGTTTCCCGGCCACTGTCATCCAATTATCTTTATGTTCCTATCCCGCAACCAAAGAAATAACGTCCCCAGGCAAACCAGTGGAATGCCAGACCTCAGAGGAACGCCAGGGGTTCCTGGCGAAGCTGTGTCCTTTCTGGTGAGCTCAAGGAAGTGAATCCATGAGCTCATCCAGAAGAAACAATTGTCACCCAGGGAGGGACATCTATTCCGCTCCAGCAGAGGGCGCCGGCGCCCGCCTCCACCGCGCAGGAAGCGGGCGCGCGCCTGTACTGCGGGCTGCTCCCGGACCTTGCACAAAGGCTGGTGGAGCTCACGCCCTCCTGGAAGCGGAGGAAGGGCCAGATGAGTGCCGGAGGGCTGCGCTTGTCTCAGAATCGAATGATCCTGATTCCATGGCAGAATACTTTCTGTGTATCAAGTCTTCTTCTAGCCTGCCAACCCCCCCACTCCTCACCACTCCCACAAAAAAAGAAAAAAAAAGCTTTCTTATTGGCCTGGCACTCTGACCAACTATTTAGAATTTTCGTTGTTGTAAAGATTGAAGGAAAGGGTGAAATCTTGTTAAAATGAAGAATAAACTGAAGGCTGAGCTGCTGGGCCTCTGCAGTACTGTTCACTGATTCTCAGCCCTGGCTGCATGTTGGAACACCTGGGGAGCTTTAAAAAATCCTGAGGCCTGGGTCCCATCCCCAGAGATTCTGACTTCATTGGTTTGGGATACAGCTTAATGCTGGGAGTTTTTTAAAGTTCTCAGATGATTCTAATGAGCTAAGTTTTCAACCCACCATTCTAATCAATCAGGATGATATTTTTCCAGGTGAACTTGGTAATAGTTTAGCTTCTCAAACAGGCTGCTGTTGTAGGGCAGGGTACATAACTAAGGAGTGCCTGGAAGCTGCAGGCAAAGAGAGCTGGCAGGGACTTGGGCTGGTCAAAGAAGCTCAGGATGAAGGAGATTTTCAGAGGAGAGAGGGAGCATCTCTGTCGGAATAGGTCCCCTCACAACATGAAGCATTCTGACCTATATTCCAGAGCAAGGGAAAAGGAGACGCATACCTTTGCAAGTCTATAAAGCTGTGGCCCCCTGTAGATTTACGGACTTCGTATCTATGTATTAACCACAGTCACATGTAAATCCCCTGCCGACTAGAAGGAGGAAGAGGAGGGGTTAGGAAGGAAGAAGCAAGAATAAGATCACCTAGAAATTATAAAGTTATCCTCTACAGGCCTAAAACCCTTTGAAAATGGCCTGAACCCCTCCTCAGCCTAAAGGAAATCCTGGAAATTCCCTTTTCCTGAAAATTGGAGCACCAGGGTTAGATCCTCTCCACAAGTACTGTTACAGAGTAGAGGGCAAGAATGTTCTTATGACCCTTGTGTCATGAAGCTATCTCATGAATATTCATAAACGTAATCACTGTGAAGCAAGTGGGAAGCAGAAACCACACAGCAATATTACAGTGCTCACGTGCTCAAGGAGGTTAGGTACGGCCTGAGAACTCAGGTCCTGAGAAGGTAGAGTTTTAAATACACTAGAAAGTGCGATGTGCATTAAAGTCTTTTGGGGTGATAGGTATAAATGATAGGACTATGTCTTCTGAAACTCTTGGCAAAGTTCGGTCATTCACTTAATAAGCAGGCAAGAGAATTAAACTAATATTTAAAGAGCATCCACCGAGGTGGGTCACAAAGCCTCGTCAGCCAGGGCCACTAAGGGAGCAGCAGGAGGTGCCCCCTGGCCGGAGATGGGCCCCAGCACTCCCACGCTGCTGTGCCGGATCACTGTCTCTGTGTTCCCAAGGACTGACCTAGACATGCCCTCTCCTTATGCCTACTTACTCTCTCCAAGCAACCTGCAACAGTTATAACGACCTCCATCCTTCCCTTTATTCATTGTTTTTCTAGTCTGTGCACAGCCACACACACAGCATTATCTTGTCCCCTGTTCCAGTCCACCTGACCTCCTGAGACAACACCTTCACTGACCCCCTGGGCCTCCTGCAGGCTTCCCCACATTCACTTGGCAAGCTGGCAAGGGCATGCCTCACCTCGCCAGATCTAGGCCTCTCTCAGCTGACCTGGAGCTGCTTCTGACTAGTTCTGCACAAAGAATGGTTCACTGTGGCTTCTGCTATCTGCCCAAATGCCCTTTCCTGACTGGTCACCACAGAGCTGATCCACCTCCCAAGGTAGGCCAGGCACACCCTGCCTAGGCTGCCAGCTCTCTGGACTGCTAATCCAGGAACAGCAGCACCATGCTCACCTCTCATTACCCTCCCCACCACCTCCAATACCTGTTCTCTGAAAGGGAAACTTATTTCACAGGCCACTGGGAGGAAATGCCCAGTTGATCTAACCTATGTATATCAGTTTATCTTTAGGCACTACCTAAACTCAGGTATGCTGAATGGGAATGCTACAGAGATTGTGACGCTTTCATAAAACCCTGTTTTATACTTTTTCAAACTGTGGATTTTGAGTCATCAGTGGATCATAAAATAAGTTTGGTGGCTCATTAAATATATATAGAGAGAGAATAGAAAATATCAGAGTACATCATATGTAGTAAGGGGAAGTTTTTTTTCCTAAAATTTGTTTTTCAGTTTTATGTATATGTATGTATGTTTGTGTGCACTAAGTCTTCATGTAAAGTACATTTCTTATTGCAGATCATGGTCAAGAAACTTTTAAAGTTATTACCTTACAGCAAACACTAGCAGAAACCAGAGTTGAATAAAAGTGAAATACTAAAAAGTAAAATTCTAGAGGAGCTAGCAAAAAATAGAATTCAATAGATTTTAGATCTATGGATCATTTTGAAGCAATAGAAGAACCCATGGGGGGGGGGGAAGCTGTTAATTCAAATTTAAAATTTATGTCAAATGAAAAATGAACACTGTGAGAAATATTTGCATTTTATATTATAGATTAAAAGTTAATATCTGTTAAACGAAGAATCCCTTTCAGAAAAGAAGGGCAGGGGCCGGCCCGTGGCTCACTCGGGAGAGTGCGGTGCTGATAACACCAAGGCCCCGGGTTCGGATCCCATATAGGGATGGCCGGTTCGCTCACTGGCTGAGCGTGGTGCTGACAACACCAAGTCAAGGGTTAAGATCCCCTTACCGGTCATCTTTAAAAATGGATCCCTATATAGGGATGGCTGGTTGGCTCATTTGGGAGAGCGTGGTGCTGGCAGCACCAAGTCAAGGGTTAAGATCCCCTTACCGGTCATCTTTTAAAAAAAAAAAAAAAAGAAAAGAAGGGCAGGCTGGCTGGTTAGCTCAGCTGGTTAGAGTGCAATGTTATAATACCAAGATTGAGGGTTTGTACTGCCAGCTGCCACCCCCCTGCAAAAAAAAAAAATGAGAAGTGGGGTGGAAGAGGGAGAAGCAGAGAGATTTAAGTACTGACTTGGGCCTTTTGAAGGCCTAGTTCTATAAGGTTTTTTCCTGGTTATGGTGATTCAAGAAAGTAAGTTGCATGTTAGAGTTACAGCTTCTGTTTTCTCATAAACCTGTACTACTCTTTTGATATTGAACCAAACCTTTAATAAAGCATTTTGAATACCACAGAAAGAAAAAAATGTAATTTTTAAAAAAGCATTACAATTTTATGCACCACTACCTACTGTATGATTCCATTTACATCCCATTCTAGAAAAGACAAAACTGTAGGAAAAGTAAACAGATTAGCTATTGCCAAGGCTGGAGGTGTAGGATTTGATTACACCTCCAGCCTTGGCAATCGCTAATCTGTTTACTTTTCCTACAGTTTTGAAACTTTAATCTGTGCACAGGTGGAAGACAGCATGCACACGTGCAAGTAGCTACAGTGATGGTTTACAGATGAGATTTAAGTTTTCAAAATTCATTTCCCGTTTTTATAGTCTTTTCAATAACAAAGAACCCTCAAATAAAACCTGCAAGATTGGAAGAAATGAACGTAAAGGAGAAGAGGACAAATCCGTAAAATTATCATATTACCATATAGAATGTTGTTTTCTTGGCCCTAGAAACCAAGAAAAATCCTGAGAGTCACAATTATGTTGAATCGATCCATGCTATGTGGATTTTCTCTCACTCTTGCTGAAAGCTAATGTTCACTTTGGTACGGTCCTTGCTGTGGCAGGTAGTCTGTGAATATCTACTGACTGACTGACTCCCAGGCCTATTGTTTATTCTTTTTTTTTTTTTTTTCTTTTTTTGTCTTTTTTCGTGTCCGGCAACGGACCACAACCCTCAGTGTCGCGCCCGTACCGGACCGGGACCGGCAACGGGATCGCAACCCTCAGTGTCGTGCCCGTACCGGACCGGGACCGGCA